ATTTTTTGTATTGTGGTTTAAAAAGATCAAAATACCTGAATTGAATTTGTGTGACTGGGTATATTCTGGGCAATAAAATGCCTCTGCTAATCCTCCACTTTAAACTTTAGGCTCTCATGCTCATAAGACAAAGCTGTGTGTGAGCTATCGCATAACACAATAACAAATGTATAATGCTGTTAATTATTGAAATCTTTAATGGTATAAAAAGGGTGAAGTGTTTTAACGGATTATAACAAATCATACCACTGTGGGGTACTTTAGAACATTTGTCTTCAGTGGTAGTGGCTTGGCGATAGCAAGCATGAGAGTTCTGGATACTGCCAAGGTTCAGAGGGTTTGTCTTCACTATGTGGGTAAGTCAACCTAAGTTATGTTACTCCAGCTACGTGAACATGCTACTCCATCGACGTAGCTTAGGTCGACTTACCCCATTGTCTTCACTGCCTTGCATCAATGGCAGACACTCTCCGGTCAACTTCCCTTACTTTTCTTGGAGAGCTGGAGTACTGGGCTCGACCAGAGAGTGCTCTGCCGTCGATTTAGCGGGCCTTCCTTCACTAGACCCACTAAATCAATCGCTGCTGAATTGATTACAGCAGCAGTGATCTCGCCATAGTGAAGATCAGCCCTAGAACTCCTACCTTCCTAGTTAAACAATGAAAATTCTCACAACATAAGATAAGGCTCCCTATGATGAGTTGCACTGGCTTAACTAAAGGGATATTTTTATGCTGATTTTTTTTTTAACTGGTGTAGACTTCTGTGTGGACAGTCTAACTTAAAAATCCATTTAAGCTAAATGAAAATTCATTACAACTATTAGCTAAACCAAAGTAACACACTTTTAAACTAACATAAGTGTCCACATGGACAGTCTGCACAAGTTTAACAAAAGCGGTGTAAATATCCCTTTAGTCAAACTTCTACAACTTCCTCATATAGACATAGCATAGGTGTCCAAAGAACTGACACCAGGAGCAGATGAATAACAATCTCAAGAATAATCTAGTGGGAAATCACAATGGGCAAAACTCTCTGCAGTGTTTTTTAGCAACTATTTCTAGAAAAGGTTCTCTCTCCCTTCCCCCTCCATCAGCCGCGTCCCCCTCCCCCATGTGAGTGAACAGATTATCTTGGCTACTAGCTTTGTTAAATACAAACTATTCTCCCCAAACCTTTCCTTCTTCCCACTGAACATACTGGGCATGAGAATTTAAGTTTGAGGTTTCAGCAATGCACTACAGAAACTGACTTTATCATAAAGCTCAACTTCTATAATTGGAATGTGCTTTTGGGTATTTCTTGAACATTCCTTGATGCTATGTGGAAACAATTGTGGGATTTCTGCAGGAGAATGGTAACCCTTGAAAGAGAGTCATATTTATGACTTCAAATCTGAACATCTCTGATTCTGAGGATCTTGACTAAATGCTTCATGAGGCTTGGTATCCCTTTCGTTCACAGAGAAGGATTTTGCCCAAACCAACAAGGAAAAGCCGTACAAAAAACAAGCAAAAGCGTCCCAGGAGGTAAGTAAATCTTACACTGCTGAAATATGTGCCATTTCTCTTATGACTTGCATGACTGCCATTTTGATCATATGTAAAGGATCTGAGAAAGATCACAAAACAAATATGCTGGGACATTGGATCTGCAAAGATTCTTCCTTTTGGCATGTAAGGTTAAGGTACAAATAGTGCCATTTATCATCCCATATTTCCTTGTATCTTCAATATTCAGATCGCTTCTCTTCAAAATCAATCCCTCAATGTGTTTCAAAAACTTACTACTGTCACTTTCTAATCTTGCAGTTCTAGAATGGCTGTGAGATAGCAGTGAGGACTATGTTCTACCACATTGGCTTAGTTGTCAATTCTGAGATTTTTGGTGTATTTCTTTTTAAATACTTGATTTGCCTGGTTTCTGGCCTTACGTGGAAACTGACAGTGCGTTCCGAATATGTTGTACACATTTTCCCAATCTTTCCATTTACATCCAGCACTCTTCTTTTTCTGGTAGTTGTTAGCAAAATATTTGCCAAAAGCAATTACAAATAACTAACTTCTGTTTTTTGGTCTGCCCAGCCATGGTCTTAAGATTGCCTCATTGTGGGCATCTTGGAAAACAGTGTATGTAAACTGAGTAACTTAAGTGGGTTGGATTGGGTTCCCCTCCCAATAACTTGTTCATCTGTTGTAATGCTAGCTTTGGAACAGATGAACATCCAGGGAATGGACACTAACTCTTCATCTGTACTGCAGAGAATTCAGTCCAGGAATTACATGCTAGCTAAGTTCCCTCTAAGCTGCGCAGCTGTGCAGCAGGCTATCAAGAGCCACGCAGGTGGGAAGAGGCGCCTCTGCCCCAGGTTGCTGCCATGAGAGAGGGCTTGGGGGAGTGCCCTCCCCTGGGGCAGCCTGCTCCCCAAACCTCTCATCCCTGGCCCCACCCCAGAGCCCGTACCCCCAGCTGGAGCCCTCACCCCCACCCGGAACCCAAACCCTCTGTCCCAGTCCTGAGCCCCCTCCAGAGCCCTCACTCCCCATACCCCAGCCCTGAGCCCTCCTCCCACACTCTGAACCCTTTGGCCTCGCCTCCATATTGGTGCACATAACAATTCATTCTGCACATGGATGTTAAAAATTAGAGGGAACACTGCGTGCTAGCGATAATTAGGCAAGGTAAAATTATAAAATTTGAATAGTGATCACTGTGTGCGTGACGAGGGATGTAGATACATCCTACCCTTATGTTTTGCCCCAAGAGATTTGATTTTTATTTGTGCAATTTTTTGATATACTCTTGTAGGTGTTTTGTTGTTGTTGCTACCTGCGTGGGTGGGGAAGGAGGCTGGGCTTGCATGGGAAGCTGTGATCCAGGAGGGAAACTTTTTTTTTTAATTCTGACTTGGGGTAGAGAAAGAAAGTCATCACTCAAAAATAGTGTCATTGGCACTCTGTTCAAATCTAAGCAACAGTTTGCTTCTGTTAAACATTTTCTCTAGCTAGTTGGTCTGACTGAAATTGTGGACTGTCTACGTTGACGGAGTAATTTGCACTTGGTGTTGGTTTCATTCTGGGATACAATCAGTTTCACTTTAATTTTAATGTCAAGGATAATATTTTATACACTGATTTTTGGAACATATGTAAATGGGTATTCAAAGAACTTCATAGGGCACTTAAAAGGAATTTTTGTGGTCTAAGATGTAGAAAACTCTTATCAGACACTGCACCAATAGGGCTGTATAGGGGGAAACTTGCATTCTAGTTCCCTTGAAACTGCAGACTCTGTTCTACGGGACCTGCTAGATATGAGTCTGTGGTCCATTACAGAATCATCTCTAACACTGCAAGAAGTGGGGCATTGGAGGGGAATAACCCAATATTTTTGCTAACATGACCGGTTGACACATTCTAACTTAATGCAGTAAATACACTCTTAAAAGTAGTATCCCTCAAATTCTTCATTTGAGGACGTATTGGTCACACTTACAGGTGGCACTGTATATAAACTTGATAACTTGTATAAATACAACTTGCTTACACTGAATAGTGAAGCATCGATAGAAATAGTGCAGTCTCAAATATCACTTTCACTACAAACTGCTGAGTTATATTTTGTACTGCCATGTCCCTGGCTCCTGGAATAGCTTCTGAGATGAATTGTGGCATGGTCACAACTAACTTGTTGATATGGTGTAGTACGGAATTCATGTTAGCAGTTTATTTACTAGCCCATACATTCCTTTATCCCAGGAATTGTGGTAGTATCTCTTTGGTAGATTATAGGGGAAGTATATTTTATAGTTGTTAGACTAAACTTGCCAACCCCTTGAAGGTTTAAATCAGTAGTTCTCAAACTTGGGGTCAGAACCCCTCAGGGGCTTGCGAGGTTATTACATGGGGGGGGGGGGGGTGTCACAAGCTGTCAGCCTCCACCCCAACCCTGCTCTGCATCCAGCATTTATAATGGTGTTCAATATTTTAAAAAAGCGTTTTTAATTTATAAGGGGGGATTGCACTCAGGGGCTTGCTGTGTGAAAAGGGTCACCAGTGCAAAAGTTTGAGAATCACTGGTTTAATTAATTTAAAATACTGCATTTCAGCCGTACACTTACTGCAGTGCATGATGCCATTCTCGAAGATCTGGTCTTCCCTAGTGAAATTGTGGGCAAGAGAATCCGCGTGAAACTAGACGGCAGCAGACTCATAAAGGTCCATTTGGACAAAGCACAACAGAATAATGTTGAACACAAGGTAAGGAACGAACTTTATACTCTTCTCTGTAACACAAGGGTTGTGATGAGTCATAGCTGCGTGTAAAACTCAAAACTGCTGCAGTGGCAAGGGTGTGAGGACTATGCCCTGATTTTTAATTTCCTTTTGGACTAAGGAGATGCTAATAGAAGGTTTAAAATCAAACTTTAGTTTGACTGCACTTGACTGCTTTACACTCTTTTTGGTTAGCTGATTTTTGGTGACCTTTTTCCTACTTGCTCCCTCTTAGTATGAGTGATAGAAGATGGGCTTTTTATTTAGAATAAAACACTTGATCTTCAAAGCCAAGGTACATCATGGGGTGGGGAGGCAACATATCTGTGTGGCTCATTTTCAGCTGCCTTGTGGATTGAACAGCTCTGAAAGAGTGAGTCTGTTCTGCTGGCAAATCTATGATTGATTAATGGGTTGAGTCTTAATGTTCTGCAGAACATTATCATCTCCCACATAAAGAATTCTGGGAAGTAATCTCTGTATGGAAGAATTGTCTTCATCAATTTAGTATTTCACTTAGTCTAATTTTTCAGGAAATGTGGCTTGATTAGTGCTGGTACATAACTTAAAGAAAACTTGTTTAAAATGAGTGGGAAGCCTATCCTTTCTTGTTGATATAGGATTTCTTAGCAGTAACTTAAGAAACTATCCAAATCAAACTTGGAGTAACATCAATTTTGAATGCTAGACTAAATTAGTTCCTGAATGCATCTGTCATCTTCACCAATATGGTCATCCATTGAGGTTACTCATGGCTCTGTCCAAGTGGTGTATATGGGAGCATAGCCCTAAGTGCAGTGATATACAATCCCTTCCACAGTGTTGAAGAGCAAGCCTGTCTCTGGTTCTAGAGCTGATGAGAACAGCATTCTATATATTTTTATAACTTCTCAGTCTCTAGACAATTACTGAGGAGAAACCGTGCAGGTTACAACTTGAAACATACTATAGTATGTGAAAACATTATCTACTATTTGAACTGTACAGCAGAACATGCAGCTTTTATAACACCTATTGAAAGTAAACTAATGCTGTTAAACTTGACTTTCTTTCCAGGTGGAAACATTTTCTGGTGTCTACAAGAAGCTCACTGGCAAAGATGTTATTTTTGAGTTCCCAGAATTCCAGCTGTAAAGTAAAAGAATGACTGACTGAATAAACAGTTTAATTGTTCATATCTTAAGCAATTTCATTAAACTAAACACTTTATAAAAGCACACTACAGAAGGAGGAAGTAGCTGACGTAGGTGACTGGTAATAGCTTGGCTATGGAACCTTCTAGTTTAACTGAGTTGCATCTATTAAAGTAGGTAAGAACTCATGTCACAAGTACCTAATGGTAACTAGGTAAGAGACTTCAGTTTCTAGGGGACATGTCCATATCCTAAATCACACAGAAAGCCTTGGTAGGGAAGTAAACTAAACAGGCCTAAATAATAATCCCTTTTCTGAGGATGAATTGGTCTGGCAAGGTTGTGCACGAAACCTTAAACTCATGAGTTTTTCTTTTATTTAAGAAACTCAGGTAGAATGGAAACCTACAATTCCCGAGGTTGGTGGGAACATTAACCTTCATAATAAATACTTGGCTTTAGATATGACAGTCTTGTATGGGGTGGAGGCAGACAAAATTCCACTTGCTTATGGAACACAATTCTTAAACACCTATTTGAAAGGTCACAGGGCTGAAATTTAAGCAGTGTTCTTCCCTGCAGATTAAGCTGTCTTGCTTTGCTGTAAATTGCAAAACTACTACTAATGGGAGAACATCGAACTACAATGCAGGTTTTGTCAGTCCACAGGTTCTAGATCTACTCTTGCAAGTCTGTAGGATATCAAAATAGATAAATATGGGTTTCTAGTTGCTTCACAGCTGGAGGGTTGTGCTAGACCCTGGGAGGTTGGTCAGTGGGATTTGTTTGAAGTGGTGTGGGGAAGCCTACATTGTTTACCTCAACAGCTTGAAATGGGTGACTTTTAAAAGTCTACAAGCAAGTCTAAGGCATAGGGTGACACTCCCAGTATGTAAACAATAACTGTCTTCCTGTGGGGTGAGGACTGACAGTTGAAGTCACTGGGAATCTGAGTTCCTAGCTAAGCAAGACTTCACTAAATATTAGGGCTGTCAATCACGATTAATTTTTTAATCGCTTAATTGTGTGATTAAACAATAATAGAATACCATTTATTTAAATATTTTTGGATGTTTTCTACATTTTAAAATACATTGATTTCAGTTACAACACCGAATACAAAGTGTACAGTGCTTAGTTTATATTTGTTTACAAATATTTGCACTGTAAAAAACGAGAATATTTTTCAGTTGCAAGTACTGTAGTGCAATCTCTTTATCATGAAAGTTGAATTTACAGATGTAGAATTATGTTTAAAAAACAACCCTGCACTCAAAAACAAAACAATGTAAAACTGTAGAGCCTACAAGTCCATTCAGTCCTACTTCTTGTTCTGCCAATTGCTCAGACAAACAAGTTAGTTTACATTTGCAGGAGATACTGCCCGCGTCTTTACAATGACACCTGAAAGTGAGAACAGGCGTTGGTTCACATGGGACTGTTGTAGCCAGCGTCACAAGATATTTACGTGCCAAATGCCCTAAAGATTCATATGTCCCTTCATGCTTCAACCACCATTCCAGAGGACATGCGTCCATGCTGATGACGGGTTCTGCTCAATAATGATCCAAAGCAGTGTGGACCAACGTATGTTCATTTTCATCATCTGAGTCAGATGCCACCAACAGAAGATTGATTTTCTTTTTTGGTGGTTAGGGTTCTGTAGTTTCCGCATCAGATTGTTGCTCTTTTAAGACTCCTGAAAGCATGCTCCACACCTAGTCCCTCTCTGATTTTGGAAGGCACTTCTGAAACCTTGGGTCGAGTGCCGTAGCTATCTTTAGAAATCTCATATTGGTACCTACTCTGCGTTTGGTCAAATCTGCAGTGAAAGTGTTTTTAAAACTAACAATGTGCTGGGTCATCATCCAAGACTGCTATAACATGAAATACAGGGCAGAATGTGGGTAAAACAGCAGGAGACATACAGTTCTCCCCCAAGGAGTTCAGTTACATTTAATTAACTTACTGTTTTTTTTTTAACGAGTGTCATGAGCATGGCCTCTGGAGTGGTGGCTGAAGGATGAAGGGGTATATGAATGTTTAGCATATCTGGCACGTAAATACCTTGCAATACCGACTACAAAAGTGCGAATGCCTGTTCTCACTTTCAGGTGATGTAAATAATAAGCAGGCACATTATCTCCAGTAAATGTAACCAAACTTGTTTGTCTTCATGAATGGCTGAACAAGAAGTAGGACTGAGTGGACTTAAAGGCTGTAAAGTTTTACATTGTTTTGTTTTTTGAGTGGAGTTTTGCAACAAAAAAAATCTACATTTGTAAGTTGTGCTTTCACGATACAGAGATTGCACTGCAGTACTTGCATGAGGTGAATTGAAAAATACTAATTTTGTTGTTTTTAGAATGCGAATATTAATAAAAAATAATATAGCGAGCACTGTACACTTTGTATTCTGTTGTAAGTGAAATCAATATATTTGAAAATGTAGAAAGACATCCAAAAATATTTAATAAATTTCACTTGGTATTCTATGGCTTAACAGTGCAATTAATCACAGTTTTAATCAATTATTTTTTTCAGTTAATCACGTGAGTTAAGTGTGGTTAATCGACAGCCTTACTAAATATCCATCTACTTTAAACAGTTGACTGTCATCTCCACTGAATGTGGAGTAAGGCATCACATTTGCCCAGAGCAATATCTGATTTCTACTTTTGCAAGTGTCCTTCCTGTTGTTGCAATCGGCATTCAATTAGAAGGAAAAATTAACATTTACCTCTCTGTCTTCTAATATATCTTAAGAGCTTTGGTGTTTAAAAAAACAGGGCCCATGGGGAAAGCTTACTAGCACACATCTTTTCCTAGCTATTGAGTGGCTCCAAGTGGATCCTTTCCTCGGCCATTCTACAGTTTCTGATTTTACTGCCACCTTTTTTTCCTCTTGCTCCTATTTTCCACTGTCTTAGCAATCTGTTCCTTTTCCTGAAGCTGTGCAGGAGAAGGACTTTGTTGCTTGCAGCTTGGGTTCACCCAGCATGCCCTCTCTTAGTAGGACAGAAGCAGCCTTGTATTCTATTAAGAGGCACCAGCTGCTCACTGTCTTCAATACTGCAGAAGGAATGGAACAATTCTGCAGCAGCAAGGGGACTCCTCAGCATTTTGGTGGGTGTTAGTGTTTTTTCCCCTTTCATCATCCCCCACCCCCTGGTGCCTGGAGTGTATAGGGCACTATCTTACCTTCAGTGGAGAGGGCCAAACTCTACTTCTAATTGTGGTGGTAGTTTATGGGGTATAAATTTGACTATATGCTACCATCTATGCACATGATGCTGACTGATTATCTGAGGGAAATGTACAGGAATCAAGGGTGGAACCGGCTTGAATAAGTGCCAGTTAATACAGTGTCAATTGAGGAAAATATACCCACCATGCCACCATCACTACTTCCCTCTTTCATATCTGTCTCCTGTTCTTCCCTGCAGTAACTTAAAATTCTTATCTCCTTGGTTTTAATCTAATCCCTTTTTCATTTCACTCACTAAGACAATTAGTGATGTCTAATGAAGTGTTTTGGATTTCAAATTTTATGCTCCAATTAAGTTAATAGAAGACAGGAGCCCTAACACTGTCTGAAGCTGTCTGTAGACTCACAACAGCATCATTGCATTGGTTCATAGTTGGAAGGCTTTTCACAGCCTAGAAACTTCAGAATGTAGCGTCCATTATTAATAAAAACAAATGTCCCAAAGGCCACAAATACAAGCAGGTTGAATTTGGTTTCTGAGCCATATGTTGGACAGTCTTGCTACAAGGATCAAGAGTAGTACCTCTCTCCTTAAAACGTCTCTAGTGCAGTGGTTTGCAACCTTTTTTTTTTATGGGCAGGCCCCTAAATGGAGGTGTGGACCCCTTTGGAAATCTTAGACGTAGCTTGCCCAGTGTGATAGTGTGGTCAGACACTTGCCTGACAATTGAGGCTGATATTTGTGAAGGCGGTGTGTTCACAGGCAGGCTAATAATGGGGGTCTCCTCCTCTGCGATCAAAATTGCTGGTTTTGAGTCAGTAACCCTTTGCAATCTCATCAGCTGGTAGCTTGCCTACTTGTTAAGGTCTCCCCCCCCACACACACACAAACCCACACTCAACCCACTCCACCTTATCTCTTACAGAAAACTTGTGACAGAGCAACATGTTCAGAAATTAGTACATCTACGTATTGCAGTTCAGATGTGCAGGCCTGACTCACAGCATTCTAGTTGCCCACTAGTACTGTAATGTCTGAGCATCTCACAATTTATAAACTCATTATTCCCACCCTGTTCCCCTGTGAGATAGGGAAGTGCTATTATCCCTTGTGCTTTAAGTGACTTGCCCAAGGATACATGGGAGACCTTGCTCTTACTAAATCCTATGCTAGTGCCCTAACTACATCCTCTTCATTTTAGAAGGCTTGCAGAACCTTGGAGCTGAATTAGAATTTTATAAATGGTTTACAAATAATTTATATTAGGTTTAAAAACTGGCACAATCCCACTCTAATGAAATCCCAGTAGACTAGGTTGTCCTTAGCTGTAACATGGCTGAGCAGGTAAGGACTCTGCCCCCTTCCTGGCCACACTGCCTCAATTGCACCTTTGGCCACAAGTTGGGTAAACAGGGTCCATGGAAGTGGTTCTCATGCTAAGGAAGTGGGTAGAGCTGTAGCTTTGCCATGTCTCCCCTTGTCCCTCTTGCACTGATTACTAGAATTGGACAGATGGGACAGAGGAATAAGTAGCACCCTGAAAAGTGCTGCAGTAACTTACACTACACTGTCCCAGAGTAAGAGGGGAGCAGGG